GGCTCCCGCCCCCCTGGGTCTAAAAATGATCCATGTGGTGAGGGCGTCTGCGGACCTCAACGCCGCCAGGCGCCGGCGGAGGGTGCAGCCGCAGCACCCTATTAGAACCCGGGGTGCTGTCCCAGGCAGCATGTGACTCACCGAGACATGTGGACAAATGACTTGCCGTAGATAAACATTACCTAAAACCTGTTTCCTACACCCAGCCTCCACTACACACTCTAGTGGAGGCTCTTAGCTGGGCATTCGAGGGCCTCCAAGCCCCCGGTGTGGACCAGATCCTATGTCTGATTCCCCCAAGTGGCCCCTAGAGCCCTGCAGGCCCTTTTCTAGCTTCTGTAAAGCTTAGCCCGAGCCCAGCCTGGGGTCTGCCCCTCACTCTCCACCCTCTCTGCTCGGGTGTTATTTTGGATCTTCATTCCTTGCATCATCAGATCAGGACTTTCTGAGGGCCAGGCCAGTCGTGCTTATCTCTGGGGTGCCCAGCACTGCAAGAGACGGGCGAATGACAATAGAAATGGTGAGCAAGCCCTAGGGAACTTGGGGGTCAGTTGTGAAGCATGGGGTTTCTAGCTAATCCTTTGTGAGTGATCAGAGCAGGTGTAAGTCTGAATCTGTAAGTTCAGAGAGTAAATCTCCAGGACAACAAAGAATACATTTCTGTTGTCTTAAGCCACCCCGTTTGTAGCACTTTGTTTTGGCAGCCCTTGGAAACGAATACAGCCATCTACTCAGTGGACAGCACTATTCTAGGCACAAGAGATTCAGGGTGAACAGAACAGACAGGATCCCTGCTCTCACAGAGACATTCTAGTGGGGCAAGACAGACCACAGACACTCTGAGAACAACAAAATAGCAGGTAAGGAGAAGTGCTGCGAGAGAGGGACTGGGGAAGGGTAGAGGGCTGTTTTAGCTTGGGTGATTTGGAAAGGGCTCTCTGAGGAAGTCACATTTGAGTTGAGACCTAAGTAAAAAAGCAGACTAAAAGTACATATACAATTTCATCTTTTTAAAAAACATCTCATAAAAAGCATCTGTCCTTTGGAATAGAAAGATAAATAACCTCTGCTATGTAGGTGTCACCAGCCTTACTCTTGCATTTCCCGTGGGCCTAGAGTAATTATCTTTGCGTCTGCCCTCCCCATCAGACAGGGCTTCCTCGAGGGCAGCAGCTCTATCTGATCATCTTATGTTCCCGTGGCTGCAGAGTCTGCCACACAGGAGGAGGTGGAAGAGCACTGGGTAAGAGCAGGGTCTTTGTAACTCATTTGCCTGGCACTAAGTCTAGACCTAAGCACTTGCTGACTCCAGGAAAGGTCCTTAGCTTCCCAGGAGTTCAGTTTCCTCATCTGTAAAATGGAGATCACAGCAATACTTAAATCATAAGGTAGCTCTGAGGGTTAAGTAAGACGCTGTGTATGAAGTTGTATAGCCAGATGGGGAAGGTGTCAAGGGAGACTTCAGTCTTTTTGTCTGTATTGTTTGAGTTTTTACAGAAAGAATGTATTTGTGCATTATCTATATAATTTAAAATTTTTTATTATGATAAAATACACATGATATTTACTATCTTAGCTATTTTAAGTGCACATTTCAGTGGTATTAAATACATTCATGTTATTGTGCAACACATCACATTTTGAGGATGCAGCTAAAGCAAGGCTAAAAAGAAAAGTCTAGCTTTAAAATGCTTATATTAGAAAGAAGAAAAATTTAAAGCGATGATCTGTGTCTCCGCTGCAAGAAATTGGTAAAAGTGCAAATTATAACTAAAGACAAGAAAAGAAATCATAAAGACAAGTGCATCAATTAATGAAATAGAACATAGCCCAACAATTGCAAAATCAATGAAACCAAAAGCTGGTTCTTTGAAAATATCAATAAAATTGATAAGCTTTTAGCTAAACTGACCAAGGAAAAAAGGAGGGCATAATATATTAATACCAAGAATGAAATAGGGGATATCACTGTAGTCTCTGCAGATATTAAAACACTAATGAGAATAGAATATTATGAACAACTTTATGCCAACCTAGATGAAATGGACAAAGTCCTTCAGAGACAAAAACTACCACAATTGGCCTAAGAAAAAACAGAAAATTTGAATAGCCCTATATTACTTCAAAAATTAAATTTGTAGCCTTGTCCGGGTGGTTCAGTTGATTGGAGTGTCATCTCATACACCAAAAGCTTTCAGGTTTGATCCCTGGTTCAGCATGTGTGGCAACTGATAGATATTTCTCTCTCACATCAATGTTTCTCTCTCGCTTGCTTATCAATAAAAATGTATTCTCAGTTGAAGATTTAAAAAAATTGAATTTGTAATTTAAAGCTTCCCACACAGGAAACTCCAGGCCCAGAAGGCTTCACTCACTGATTCTATGAAACATTAAAAAAAATAAAATCAAATCTATACAAACACTTTTTTAAAAATAGAGAAGTATGAACACTTCTCAATTCATTTTACAAAGGCAGTGTTATCTTAATATCAAAACCAGATTAAGACAGAAAAAGTGAACTACAGACTAATATTTCTCATGAACAAGATGCGAATTTAAGTAAAATTTAAAAACTATGTGTGCATGTATGTATCTCTAACCTCCTATCTGTAAGTATGTATTAAAGATATCTGGAATGCTGTTTACATAATAATAATGGTGATTGTTTCTGATCGATTAAAAAACCCTTCATTGTTGCACTTTTTTGAATCGTTAAATTTTTTTAGCAAACATGTATCATGCAGAATAATTATTCTTTTATTTTTTTATTTTTATTGATTGATTAATTTTAGAGAAAGGGAAACATCAATTTGTTTTTCGACTTACTTATGCATTCACTGGTTGATTCTTGTATGTGCCCTGACTGGGGATTAACCCATCACAACCTTGGTGTATCCATGTATCAGGACAATGCTCTAACCAGCGAACCACTGGTCAGGGTTTTCTCATAGCTTCTTGTAGCTGTCAGCAATCCTTGGTGTGCCCTGGCCTGTAGATGCAACACTCCGATCTTTGCCTCTGTCATCACATGGCTTTCCCCCTCGGTGTGTCTCTGATCTTGTCTCCTTTATTTTATAAGGACACCAGACATTGGCTTTAGGACCTACCCAAAATCCAGGATAATCTCATCATGAGATCTTTAACTGAATCACATCTTTGAAGACCCTAATTCCAAATAAAGTCACATTCATAGGTTCTGGAGGTTAGGACTTGGGCATATCTTTTTTGGGCCACTATTCAACCCACTACACTTCTATCCATAGAATCATAAGAATTGGGTGGAAGGTTTCTGAGAAACAAACAAGTTTATTTGTAATTAGAAAAAAATCTATTTCTGCAGCTTCCAGCATCACTGAGAGAGCCTTGTTTACATGATGCCACCAGCTCCATTTTCACAGGAAATAAGTCTGTCTTTCCTCTCTCACCGTATGTGTTGGGGGGATTTGGATGGTAATGCTGAGCTCTGAAATTTCTCTCTTGGAGGTGACCCGGAGGGAAAGGCATGAACAGTTCACACTTTCTGCCAAACGTTTATAATCTATTTGAGATTGTGAGCTTCTAAAAGGGTGGGTCGGTACCTCTCACTCCTCCAGGAACCACACTGCCCCCTTCCCAAGCCTGGTCCTTCGCCAGAGTAGGGGCTCTCATTAACATTACGGGAGGGGTGCAGGCCATGGGCCTGCATCTCCTCCCCCTTCATACTGTACGAGGGCCACATCAGTGTCTCAGTGCAACCTCCCACTGCCCCAGAAGAGAAAAATAGTAAAGCTGCTGGAAACAACATAGACCGTGGGTTCTATGTGCTAAGCAACTGTAATGAAAAAATTACACATTTCCATCAAGATGAAAACAAAAACCGCACCTATGGGAAAATACCTATCACAACCATGTCTGGTGGCGCACCACACAACCCACTAACCGCACCATTGACAAAACACTTCAACCCCTTAGAAATGATGAATTAGACCTACCTGACCTCTGGAGAGAGAGATTGGGCGATGTCTGTGGAGCGGGATTCTGCAGCCACAGACGAGGGGAGAGTGCAGGCCAGTGTGTCTCAAACTTCCCAGTGCCACAGAATCACCTGGAGGGCTTGTTAGCCACCCCAGAGTTTCTGATTGGGGAGAATCTGCATTTTTTTACAAGTTCCCAGGTGATGTGTAGCAGTGGTCCTGGGGCCTCATCTTGAGAACCACTGGCCCAAAGTGGGGCTTTGGAATCTGCCTGTTAATAGACTCCATCTGTGAGTAAGGTCCTCACACAACATTCTGTGAAATGCTGCTTGCTGAGTAAACAGGCCAGGGGGCAGGGACTTGGGGTCTCCCTAGGTGGTGGCAGCAGTGGGACAGTGAATGTGTGTGGAGCCCTGAGAGAATCAAGAACAGCTTGTCTAAAACCCCTTGGGGCCCCAGTTTCCTCGTATTTACCTGGGAAGCTTGAAGCAGATGGAGCAGTTCCTCCCCAGAAGGCATCTGAAATCAGCCCTAAGGGATTAGGGTTTGGGTGTTGGTGTGACGTG